AATAGTTAACAAATAGTTAAGTAATATATATACAAGAACTAATTTAGCATTTTATTAATATATTATAAAACATTTAGTATGCATTATAGAGTAATTAAAAAAAGTTTATAATGCATTATATAATAAATTATTAGATTATTAGATTATCTGAATAATTATTTTACTATTGCCTTTAATAATTATTGATTATTATTTAATCATCCCAATAAATATCTTATAAAAAAAATAAAATACATTGAAGACAAATTAATCTGTATTGAATTATCAATTTTTAAATATAAAATTCTTATTTTCTATTATTAATTATTATAACTACAACATTATTTACATTGCATTTTTTGGTTTCAAATTATAATTTGTAATTACATATTCAAAAAATTGATAAATAAATCATGCAGACCAATTAAATCTAAAATTTTATAACCAAATTATACTTTAAACAGTTTATATCTAATATATTTAATATACTTATTACATTATTTTTAGTATTAGAAATTAATCTAAATATGTTAATACAGATCAAATATTATATTAATTCTAACTAGTTAATTTATTTTAGGATTATATTAAAATCTTACACATTATATATGAAATCTGTGCAAAATCATATACATGCTTATTTCTAAAAAAATAATTATTAAAAGTATAAAATCTAATAAACATATTATTCTAAAAATATATGTTAATTGCTATAACCAAATTTCTATTAACAATAAACAAAAAAAGAATGAAAATCAAAATAAATTATAAGAATTAATCAAGGTTTAATTTTTATTAATTATTTAATATATAAGTATTAGAACAGCATTATGTTTCAAATTAAATACAAAGTAAATTAATTTATTGAGTTTGATATTGTGATTGATTGCATGATGTGTAAGCATAGTTCAAGAGAATAATAATAATAGTTTGACTAATTAATAATGATAGAGTTTATCATAAAGGTTATATATTTATTAAGTATATTTTTTGGGTTTATTGATATAACTACATAGTTAGATAGTTTTTTGATCTAGTGATTATTAAAGTTAGTTACAGTAATAACATAATTACATTATTAGAGTTTGTTAAAGTAACAATGTAGTTACATAGTTTTTTTGATTAGTTTTTGATCAGTTTTGATTAGTAATCATTAAAGCATATTTAAGAAAGATATAGGATTTTTTCAGACAAAATAATTTCTGTATTTTTCTGCTAACTTAACTTGGCTAGTTTTTTTGTTCTCTTCCACAGAGATGCTTTAATGAATACTGTTGGTAAGTTTGTTAGTGAGCCTTGACCTTTCAAATTTGAGTGTTAGTAGATAATTGGCCTGTCAAATAACAGCTAAGCCCAAGTTCATTAGATGGCCTATCAGATAACAGTCACAAAAATTGATGGTGTCTTGTTTTAGTGAATTCAGAGTTGGCCTGTCAGACAACAGTCAAGTCTAATGTAAGTGACCTATCAGAATGATAGTCACAAAGAATTTGCTTTCAGATTGACATTGCACAGTTATGCTTTTATTAATATGTTTATTTGCACTCATTTGCATGTTATTTATGTTCTTATTGGTATTTGCACTTTGCAATACTTTTAATTTCTGCACTAACTGGATAAGTTTGCACAAGGCAGCAGAAACAGAATACCTATAAGTTATTTTTCATTGTATTTATTGCTGGAACACCTCCTTGATGAGAGATAAAAATTCTTTTGAAAGATGATAACTGATTATTGTTTGAATCCAGGACACAGCAACAAAAAATTATTGAAGAAAACAAATAGTAATAAATGGTTCAGTAATATTAATAAAAACTTTATGCTATTGTATAAATTGGATGTTTATAATCATTTTAAAAGGTAATAGAATATTTCAAATACTTAGAAAACCATAATTATAATACTTTCTGGCTATAATAAATAATATGCTTATTGAGTTATTCGAAAAAATAAAATGATTAATTTATTATTTATCGTTTAAATTTTTTTGATTGTATTTTTTTTGTTAAGCTACATGAATTTTTAGTGCTCGATATATTTGTTACGTGACATTCGAAACTTTTTTGGGTGCCGATTTTACCCCCATCTTAGAAATTGTCCCATTAATGTTAATGCAGGCCGGATGATATTTAATGCAGGCCAGATAATATGCTAGTGCAGGCCAGATGATATGCTAATGCAGGCCAAATAATCTCACATTAAAAATCCCGCGTGGGATCCAAAAAAACCCGCGCATTCCCGCACGTGGCCCATCATTATAGTCTGGTGGGAAATTTTGATGTTAAAACAGGTTAATATATATCATTTGAGAAATTTAGATACTTTTGTTCGGAAAATCGATGATTCTGTCGCTAATCTATCCAATTCTCGCGTAACCTACGACTGCTAAGTCGAAGAAGGCGTGTTAGATTGGTTGGTGGTTCATCCGTAGTTAAGTACTGGTCTCCTCTTTGAGTCTTTCCTTAATCCCTATTCTAATTCTAATTCTTGTCTTCTCTTGTATGCCTCTCTACCCAGGATTACACTACGTCGAACGGGGCTGGAATTCTCCTACTCCGTTACCGGCCTTATGAGTCACGTGACTATGAGCGAGTGATCAATAGTGAGTTTATTGATTTATGGGCGAACAATTGTGTTAGTAATGAGATTAACGATATATGGGGACCCTCACAGCAAAAAGAGGCATTGGGTCATTTTAAATCTCACTATTTAAATAACTATATCTCATGATCTAGTGATCAGAATTAAATAATTTTTATATTATTTAATTCTTCTCAATAAGATAAATTTAATAATATAAAAATTATTTAATTTTAATCACTAGATTATAAGATATACTTCTCTAAATAGTAAAATTTAAAATGGCCCAATGCTTCTTTTTTTGCTGTGGGGTTCCCATATGCTAGTTTTTTATAGAACTTGTACTTTATTATGAGGCAGATATTTATTGTTATAAGGGAAGTTGTTGTTAGGAATTATCAGGGAAGATATGGTATAAAGGAAGTTGTTGTTGGGAATTATCAGGAAAGATATGGTATAAGGGAAGTTGTTGTTAGGAATTATCAGGGAAGATATAGTTTTTTCCAAGGCAAAAATGCCTTTTATTCATAATAAACATTTTATTTACATTTGCAATTAATTTCTTTTATAAAATGTAATACATTCACTATACTCTATATCTTAACTAAATCTAATAAAAGGCCGATATTCCATGTAACGGATATGTGGCCGAAGTAGCAGAAGTAACATAAGTAGCATTTCCGTTACTTTTCGCGTGACCTTGGATCGGGTAGAGATCGTCGCTCACAATATGCTATGATAAACTTCCTTTCTTGTAGCTAAAAAGTTAAAAATTTTAATTTCCGGCCAAAATTAAAAATAGGTCATCGACCTAAATTACTTAATGCAGGCCAAATTTCCGCGATTTTTTGGGGTGGTGCTCATTTCGCCTATTTCACCGACAGTCAATTCGCCGACAAGTTTATTTCACCGACAGTTATTTCACCGACAGTCATTTCACCGACAAAGTAATTATGGTCATTTTCGTTAGGGTCAGTTGGAATTAGAGTTAATGTTAGTGCAACTTTAAAAAAAATCTAGTCGATGAATGGGCTGTCGGTGAAATAGTTGTCGGTGAAATAAACTTGTCGGCGAATTGATTGTCGGTGAAATGGGATGTCGGAGAATTGATTGTTGGTGAAATGGGATGTCGGCGAATTGATTGTCGGTGAAATGGGATGTCGGCGAATTGATTGTCGGTGAAATGACACGTACCCATTTTTTGTGCGGCAGCTAGGTTCAATTAGCTAGGGTACTACTGCGTCACAAACCTGGCACAGGATTCATACATATTTTTTTGCACTAAAAAACTAATTATAAAGGTAAACTCATTATATAACGGTTTATTTCATTATCGTTGTGAAAATTTTGAACGAGGGTTTGCCAAAAAGGTGTAACTTTTGCAGATCATGATGTAATGAGAAATCAGGCGATTTTTAGATACTAACGCTAACGCCAAGAGAAATTTTACAGATACCAAATAAATAGATTTGAAAAATATGGTCAATAGATAATTAAGAATCTCTGAAATTTCTTGCTGTTATTATTAAGAAAATCACGGGGCCACAACATTATTATAAAGTGCTATAATATTTAACTAGTATCTAGGCATTTTAACATTCGTGCATTATCCTTCGAAGCAAAGTGAGCAGATATAGTATCTTAAAGTAAATTAACTGATCCAGATCACAATAAATCAATAAGATTATAAAAGGCTACACTTTCATATTATTTGTTTGTATTTTTTTTGGTTTAATGTTTATTATACGTACATTACCAAAAGGATTCCCCAAGTAATAGAAAAAAACGGATGAAACTTCTACGAAATTCTCTGCTTTTAATTAAAAAATAGTAAGGAAGTATAAATAGAACTGTTTAATAAATCAGTTATTGCACACGAAGTTGGCAATAATTAGAATTCTGATACGCAACTGATGGTAGAATGGCGCAGCCACCTTCGTTCCGACGGGCAATAACAATTTAAATATATTATTAACACAGTTTTTTTTATTAACATCATGTGACAGATTTGGATTTATTTTATATAAAAATGTGTGGTATAATATGAAAAACATTCCGCCAGTGTATACGTCATACCCGCCAGATAACAAGAAAAAAAAATCTTATATGGATGACTGAACCTTATCATAAATTTAATAGACAGCAGCTTAAATTAAATATTTGCGATAATTTATGACCACTTATAGTGTTTTGGTCCAATCTTGGTCTGGTTTGCAGTCTTACTTATGACTTTTTTTAGTCCAGACTGGTCCAGGCTGATCCGATCTTAAAACTAAGAAGGGACCAATTTTTTTCAAGTCCAGACTGACCTTAAGACTAACTATTGGTCCATTCTAACTACTTGTTAATACGATATTATGTAAATCTGATTAAGATTGTTTTGAAAAACGAACATCAGTCAAAAGGCTTAAAGTTTTTTAAGAAATGGCAAAATAATGAAAATGTTTGTTAGAAATAAATCAAAAATAATACTTAAAAATATCGAAAAATTTCTTCCTTATAATGAGTCACTTTTAGATTTTAACGGTGGATTACAAACTTTTAAAAATAATTCAATTCCTAATAGTAATTAAAATTACGATTCGGTTTTTTTATATGTGTACTTTATACAAAATTAAGTTTGATTAAAAATATTAACATTCATTAAACCAGTGAGAAAAAAGTCTAGTTCGGTCTAAATGATGAGTTACCCCAGTAAGCTACCCCGGGAGGATTATGAAAGATGCAACACCAATAAGAATTTTTTCTATGAGGTGTAACGTGAAATCATGATTTTCTTTTAAAAAAAAAATGCAAGTCGAAGTACGTAACTTAAAATTTAGCCTATGAAATCACTTGTTTAAATTTTTGGCGTAAATTAAGTCTAGTAAAAATTCTTAACAGTTAACATAATATTTTATTACTTTAAAAATTGTTTATATTTCAATAGTTTTTGATGGAACCTGATTGGTACATCTTTCGCACCATTACATTACTGAGGTAGCTGAACGATAACAACCCAGAAATTTAATACTATTAATAATTTTAAATAATTGTAAAAGAAAGAAAAAAATAAAAAATCTTTTGCATTAACATTAACTTTACTAACCAATTCCGGATTTGGCGTTTATAAATAATGTAGTACAAAATAGAGCGATAAAGCGAAAGTTATAAGGAGTTGTAGATAACTATAACGTATTGGTTAATTGGTTAAGTTTAATACGGTAACACTTATTTCCCTGATAAATGTTCACCGAAAGCCAAGGTTGCCCAACTTTAAAGTTAGAGTTGGCCCGATTTAAAGTTAGCGTCAATAAAAATCAAGTGTAGAAAATAATGATAATAATATATTTTTAATATAGATTACAAATTTTAATACGTATAGCTAATATAATAAATATAATAAACATAATAAATATAATAAATATAATAAATATAGTAAAAACATATGCATACGTAAATATCATAAAGATATCTTTTTTTTATCCATCAGTTTTGACAGATTGGTTTTGGGAGGTTACAAAATTTATTTTGCATTATATTATGTGATACTTATCGTTATTTAATCAAATTAGAAAAAAAAAGTAAATTTTCTGAACTGATAATAAAATACTATGCAGACAATATTTTCTTAAAACGCGATTCGACTAAAAGCGTAGAGAAAGTTTAAACATGCATTTACTTATAAAGCCAAAACTTATATAGTCTATAGAAATGTCAACATTTAGTGATTGCATTTGATAGGTAGTATTTGCGAAGGTCTAACTGCACATATTATCCGTTAAAAAAAATCATGCATAGAACGTATAACAGATTATTAGTTAAATTAAATGTAATTAAATGTAATTAAATGTAAAGATATACATAACCTACAAACAGTTCGTGTAACGAGCTATTTAAAGAAAAAAAAAAGAATGGTAATAAATTTTAAATAACTATAATAAGGAAATTAACGGTTTTAAAAATTAATTAATACGTAGTTATTACTGATACTCGTCAAATACCGTTAAATAATATTTAAAATAACAAAAGCTTAATAAAAATTTAGATCCGTTTTCAAGCCTATCCAGATATATGAAAGCATATAAATATAGTCTATCGCATAGTAACACAGATAGTTTCTAGATCGCTGATGTTTAAATTAGGTTATCGTTATCATAACGATAACTCATGACATAAATAATTGTCAAATTAATAATGAAAAATAAACAAATTACCATTTACAGTTTTGTTTATCAATCTTTCTATGAAATACTATAATCATTGTTACCAGCAAAATTAAATGGTTAAAGTTCATAGTAAGGGATAAAGTTCGAACACAATAACTCATTCGGACATATTCAAGATATAATGACTTTATTATGTACTGGTTCTAGAATGAATATCTTCTTTGCCTAAAGTGTCTAATAGTGCCTGGAAGTACCTAACGGTACGTACGTGCATAAGCAAGAATATAATAATTAGCATAAAGTTAAAACTTTATTTTATCTTTAGATTTATAAAGTTTTATCGATTGGTTTTAAATAAACTTATCAATGCGTTATAACAGTTTATATGTATCTACAGAAAAAGATAACAAGTATCTTATCTTTTCACATGAAATTGAAATTATCAAATTTGACTCGTTCGACGATATTAACATTAACTGTGTAATTAAATAAATGCAGCCACTTAATTTTGAGGAGTATATGGTTCGCTTATATTAATGCAAAACATATGAAACTTTATTGACGTGCTTAAAAAATTACGGATTAATAGAAAATATGCCTTTAACAGATAAAATTAAATTTACGTACCAGGTACTTACGTATATGCGTAGGTATGTAAATGAGTAGGGGGTGGGTTAAGCGTTTCTAGATTAAAAGCAGTTAACTACAACTTGAGTACTACTAATTGAGTCATATAAATATTTACATTTGACATGTTTACATTTGAATACGTAATGAAATACGAACGTTGTGAGCATAACATTTCAATATTAATTTATCAGTTATTAACTTTTATGGATCAAGAAAAGTACTCTAACAATAAATCACAAATGCAAAATAAATAATAGATTATCGTACAGACTAATTTAATATATACATAATTATTTAAAATGAATTTTGTTGTTTGTTTCACCAAGATTTGATAAATATCTAATATAAAAAGATGAATGGTATGTCATTTATTTAATTTCTAATTTTCTTTTTTCAATCATTTATTAAATATATTTTAATTATCATTTGCGAGTATTCTGTCAAAAAATGTCTTATGGTTCACGATGGGCAAATAAAAGAAGTTCGGGAATAAAAAATAATTACGATGTTGATGATGAAGAACTTTTAAGTATTGAAGGAGGAGAATACTTCCTTCCGAGTGCTGATAAAGATATCGAAAGATTACAAATGCAGCATTTTCTTTTTAGATACATCTGGGATGGAAATTTTACATCTCCGATCCATGATAACTTTATTGATGGTGGTGTTAAAGTGTTGGATATTCAGTACGTATTTGTGTTAATTATATCCGTCTTAATGATATTTATTATATCTATAAATATCTATAAATATCTATAATTAATGCTTATCGTATTAATCGTTATAATTAATTAAATGTTTATTTTAGATGCGGTTCCGGAATCTACATTACAGATTTGGCTACTCAGTATCCGACATCAACCTTTATCGGAGTTGATGATGATGAAGCTCGTTCTCGCATACATATCGAACTACCAAATGCAGAATTTATTCATCACAATGATATGTTAGAAGGATTACCATTCCCAGGTTAATTTTTTGTAAATTAAGTTAATTAAATTAATTAAATTTGGTTTTAACAAAATATTTCTTTTATTTTTAGATGACACTTTTGACTTTGTGAGCCAAAGATTTTTCACAGCTATGTCCGTTAATAAATGGGAAATGTTTATTTTACCAGAAATTGTCCGAGTTTTAAAACCAAATTCATTTTTTGAATTAATGGTTAATATTCATTTTTTGGAATTTTTTATAAGTGCAATTCGTAATCCACAATATTTTATAAATTTTTTAACACATGTAAATATATATTTGTAGGAGATGCCAGCTTGGAGTAATATGGGTCCTGTAACAAAACAAATATTGAAATCTTGTATGTGTCTCATTTTGATTGATTATACGAATATGATTGACATGCTATTGACATATTTATTTTTTTTATAGTCGATGAATATCTAGAAACAATAAATGTTCATCGTACAGAACCTCTTCAATTGGAACAGATTTTAAAACTCTCAGGACTTGTCAAAGATATTCATTGTTATTCAAAAACTACGCATTTGTGGAGAGGAATGGTCGGTCAATTGGTAATTATATTTACTGCGGCATTAGTATTACGTATTTATACGTTGTATCACGTGCATCGTAACGAATGATTTTCTTTTGCATTACATACATACGCAGCTTTTCCGAAATCAACTTCAAAAAATTGAATCATGGAAATCTGGTCTATGTGAATATTTGAAAATAAGCGAAAAGCATTTTAATAGTATGACTGAAACAATGCAAGATGAAATAATCAATTATAAAACTTCACTTACGACTTATAGGTATTTTTCATGTTTAAATTCCTGATGTTTTTTATTTTAAAAATTTTGCATTAACGTTAACCTTTTTTATTCACTCTTTTATTTTTTCTTTAGAATTTATTGTGAAAAAATTTAAGCATTAATTGTACACATTATATATGAACGTATTTCTTTAAGAATACTTAATGTAATATAATCAATTTGGCATCATCCACAATTTACGTTGATCCAATATTGTTATAGGGATTTGTAAAGATAATACGACCATAATATTTATTACCTTCAAGGTCCTATTTTTATACAATATAATTACTGGTTTAACTTAAATTGTGGATGCTGCCTTTGTATTAGTATGATTGTAAATATACTGTCTTCCTTTATTATTATTTTTATTATTTAAAGTTTTATATATGCTATATACGTTTACTGTAACGAATTAAAATGAAATCAATTAAAATGAAATTTTGTAAAGTGTAAAATAGAAAAAAATGCAAATTTTAAGGAACAAGTATAAATGGATTCAACATGACAGATGATGAAAGTTTGTTGATCTGCAAGTATTCTGATTGGCCAAAATTAAAGATTGACACTCGTTATTTCTAATGTAACTTCAGCATTTCGTGAATGATTAATTTATCTCACGTGAATTTTGAAACATTTATTCAAAAAGAAATTTTATCTTTACGTACTAGTTATTTCGCTTTAAAGCTTATCGTACTATGTATTGATATTGTCAAAATCGCTTCTAGTAAAATTGTGGAAAACTTGATCCCAAAAATTTATAGTGTTATCTGACAAAATTTTAGATAGCTAATTTTAGATTAAAATATTCTATTATAAAATAATATAAAAACTCGTGTAACAATACTTGGTTAATATAAAATAAATACGTACAAATTTCTATCATGCTGAAATTTACTGTATGTAAATATATAGTATTTATCCGGTCATTTAAAACGTATTACAAAAATAGAATATCTGTTTTTTATGTTAAATAAAAATTAATTATTTTCCGTTCGTTTTTCTAATAATTTTATGTACGTATGTACGTACCTCGATCACTATATCTAATAGTGTGTTACTGTTAATTTTTTGATGTTTTTATCCTTACCATTTTTGTTACGTATCTTTATACACACTCGTCTTTTTACTTAACTTGGCATATCGTATTATTTATTTATTTTATCTTTCCGTTATTTATTTACTTTTATATTTTGACATTCGCGCTATACCACTTTTGGTATAATACTGCATAATCTAGCACTAGATATCCTAGTATTTCTTTATTTGGGTAGTTGCTAAAGTCCCATCAAAAAACTGCTTAACATCAGTAAAGTGCGAGTTGATAACACCCTTTTTTACATCGTATATGTTTAAGTTTTAGAATTTATATTTCATAAATACAATAGGATTATGTAATATATGTAAAAAGTACCGGTATAATAAAAGTTGCATAGTTCGATTTGAGTACATGATCAAGTTTGTTATTCACTATTACAACATTTAAATGATAAAAATTACGAGTATCTTTTTTATGTAATAATTATCAAAAATTTCTTATATCTTCATCTACGTAGATAATCTTAACCTCATTAATTTATGTATAGCGATAACGATGATCTATGTTTAATTATAGATTATTATAATTCAATTTACAGTATCTCAAAAATTAGCTAAAACACCAATGCCGAATATACTAAATAAGAATGTTAGTGCCTCCTAAAGCTTTACTAAAATTTAGACTCTATATGTTTTACTATAATGTAGGTTCACTAACCCTAGATTTAATTAGCGAAGCTATTAAAAAATAGGTGAAATTACATATAAGGGTTCAAAATAAAAATAATTACATATAAATATTCAGAAGTTGAAAAATATTATAATCAAGTGTTCGAATTTATCAATTGTAAGTTTTTAATATTAAATTTTTTTTTTGACAGTTAAATATATTACTTTTAAATCAGTATTTCATTAAGTGTTCGAATTTATCAATTGTAAGTTTTTAATATTAAATTTTTTTTTTTGACAGTTAAATATATTATTTTTTAAATCAGTATTTCAGTTATTCTTTTAGCATCCTGCATGTAAAAATTATAACTATTTTTGTCAATATTCAAAAATAATTAAACATTTTCTATTTCTTTTTTTTTGGTATTAAGGTAACCTTTTTGATCTTTTGATTTTATTGCCATTTTGTTGAATATATGTTCATATAGACTTATGTTTATATTAAATTATTAAAAAAGAGTGTACAACTGGCTACATATGTAATTTTTTTATATTACCTATTTAAGAAGTTCACCTGAAGATTCTTATCAGTTGTCATATTTAATATCTCTGTTTAGATGTTCTATTTAAACTCTCTAATATGCAACTCTTATATTAACTTTATTAGATTATTCAGAACTTAAATTCTTATTTCAATTTTAGGATTATGATTTATAGAATTATTTTTATCTTTAAGGTAAACCTTTTAGAGTCTTTCATATTCTTATTTATAGTAGATTTGGTTTTTGTTATAGTTGAAACTAGCATTTACAATTAAAATTATCTATTGAATTACTTTTATCTTTGTAAAGTTTACTTAAATCCTAGTATCTATCTTTCTGATATTATTTTTATCTTCTTTTACAAATTATTACTCAGAACTAATAGAACTCTTTAGACTACCAATTCAGATAACCTGATGTAATATACTTATATATATTTTTTTTAATAATTCTAATAATATAGTTAATATATATATTTCTTCATATACTTGTTATCTAATTTATATAATAATTCTTTTAGATATATTTTATAAACTTTTATTAGTCCAATAATATTATTAAAAATTTATATTATCTTTTTGGAAAAATTTACATATAGCCGTGGCTACATGTAGCCTATACTATATAATATATATATATATATTATATAATTATACTATATAATTATATAAATAATATAT